AAAGTAATTATTTTCCCTTTGGTCTGATCATTTACTACATCCATTGGTGACCACCATTAAGATTTTTTCTCTCTTTCTAAAAATGTTCCATACATACATACATAAACATATATATGCATATACACACATATATATGTATTTACCTATGTAGGTCCTTTTTATTTTATAAAATTTGAATAACTTTGTTCATATGCTTTTCTGTAATTTTTTTAAAGTTAATAACATATCGTAGAGACAATTCCCTGTATGTACATATAAATTGAATGATATTCAGAATATTTAACAAGCCTTATAGCATGGGCACTGACCAATCAGAATATATGATGGATGTAATCAGAGTATATGCTGGACATATGGTGGGAGAAAGTTTATAGAGGCCCAGGTGTGCCACAGATTACCTTAATTAGGGCACAATGGTTAATAAGTCAGGGTCATGGGGTGTTTCCCCAGAGAAAGGACTAGAGGCAGTGTGGGTGAGAGGAGCATAGAGGATGTATTCAGCTGTTTTCCAAGTAGTATGAGTATATTTTGGTATTTTTAACAACCAACAAGAGCATACTGGTGCACTAGGGTTATATCAGCCCTGCATATACCTGATTCTATTTAATGTAGTATACAAGAATAGGACTATAGTTTTTTTTTTTTAAATTCAATATAGTGATGCACTATTAAATTGACTTTAATATCCAATATTCTGCATATTGGATAAAACTCTGCATGTTAGAAAATTAATGATTTTATCTACTTCATTCCAATGCTTTTTTTGCTTATTTTTTTAACTTAATATTTTCCACATATTTCTACTTCAGCTTTTCTGATTGATGTGTTTTTTTTGGGGGGGGGGAGTTTGGAGGTTTTTTTTTAAGCTGAGCCATCCTGCCACCTATTGGCAGCTCAGCGGCTGCTCAGCTTGGGCCGGGAATCGAACCGCTGTTGCTCAGAGCTCAAACTCTTGAGTGAGCTCTTAACCAATTGAGCCACTCGGCCAGCTCTGATGTGGTTTTTTAATTTATAGTGTTCCTTCATGAGACTGTGAGTCCTTGGAATGGTAGGAATGTATTCTAATTATATTTGTGGTCTGGTGTTAGCATGATGCTAACATGCTATAGTGTTCCTTCATGAGACTGTGAGTCCTTGGAATGGTAGGAATGTATTCTAATTATATTTGTGGTCTGGTGTTAGCATGATGCTTGACAGAGTAGACATTCAAGTGTTAATGAATGTCTGAGTGAATAATTTTGAACTTTAGGTTCTAAACTAGCCTGGGTAATGCCTATGAATGTTAGTTCAATGGAAAGCAACAGACAACACAGAGAAGGAGGCACAAGTTGAATGGCATGGAGATAGGGCCTGAGAGAAACCTGGGTACCCAAAAGACTCAGGAAAGGAGCCTGAATAGATAGTTGCCTTTCTAATCAGGATAGATGCAGGAGTAGCCTAGCTGATGTATCATTGAAGTGGAGAGAAAGATACCCATCAGGCTTTTCCTTCTTTGAGTATAAGAAATAAGACTGTATTTAATCCCAGCTGTATAGTGAAGCAATAACTCCTTTAATTATCGATCCTAGAACAAATAGAGATAGGCATCAGTTAGCTAGATTTGGGACTGAAATTCTGACAGGTGGTATCATACTAAACTCTGCTTTAATCAATATCCCAGGAGAATGTTAAGTCTGGAATTTGATTAAGATAGAGTATTTTATAATAAATAAGTAGAATATGAAATAACATAATGAATTTACTATCTGGTTGAAATTAACATGTGCTACTAATTGCATCAATAATAAACATATCCGTAGAAATAGTTAATGTTTATTAAGGGTTTATTTGTGCCAAGCACGTGATGAATGCTCTGTAGAGATTATCTCCCTTAATCCTCACAGCAGCCTATGAATCAGGTGTGATTTGGTTGTAATTTACAGATGGGAAAATACAGCTTAGAAAGTTTGTGAAATAGCTTGACTAAATTCACTTACTAGTACGCGGTGGAATTGAATCACTAAGGAAAGCCAGGATTTTCAACCTTCACTTTTATGTCACATGGAAAGCATTGAAATCACTACTAATGTAAGAGCCTCCTCCTGAGAAATTATTACTTAATTGGTCTGGGGTAGGACTCAGTGGCATTGTATTTTTTTTCTAAAATGTTGCCTGGTGATTTCGATGTGTAGTCAGAGTTGCAAACCACTTACCTATTATCGCATATACTATATTATTGAGAGCTTTGTTTTGCCTTCCAATTGCACCTTGTCAATAAAAAGAAACTGTAATGGTTATGTAACTTGAGAGAATTGTTTTAAGATTTATTTTACTTCCTCTGTTCTTTATGCATTGTTTGTATTTATGTATACCATTTTTACCTCACTGATCCTGCCTGCCCCATTTATTGACTATCGTCTCCTGGAATGTTTCAGTATATAAACTGGTGATATAAGGGGTCTTACATTTTGCCTCTGCAATTACATCTATGTTTAGATAGGCTTGCCTTTAATAGGCCTTTGCTGCTTTTGTTGTAAATTGTCTGTTAAATAGTTGTCCATTTATTATTATATTTTCCTGTTTCTTCTCAGCTACTAAAAAGATTCAGTTGATTAGGTTCTATTAACTGCCTTACTATATTAGTTTTCTATAATGATTAGTTAAATAGTGCTTATAGAAATTGCTACAGATAATAAATTTATAGTTCTAGATATTTCCATGTAGTCAAAAATTATACAAGACTGAATTCTAATCCACCTTGCAACATTTTTCAGCATAATAATTTATCCTCTCTCCATTTCCAAGCCAAGCTATATTTTTAAAATAAAGTACCATCACAATAGAAAAATGGGGTAGAGGCATAAATATGCAGTTCAGAAAAATGAAATACAAAATGAAATAAATAAAAAGCTAGTTTAACCTAATCAATTAATTTAAGGAATGTAAATATAATGAGTTTTATATATGAATTAGCAACAATTTTTCCATAGAGTCCTGACCTTACAGATACAATTTACATGTTTATTATTTTTATTGTCCATGACATTCCTATGCTAGTATGCAAGCTCCACAAGGAAGGGAATTTTGTGTTTTGTTCAGTGATATTTTGTAAGAACTGAAACTAGTCTTGTCATGAAATAGTCAATAATAAATATTAGTCAAATAATGACTGAATGGCTTATTTTAAATATGAGTGTGTGGGGGGCATATGCCCATGTACACGGTTAACAAAGATGTGAATTGCACATAATAATGTGTGATGGGCAGGAGTATAAATTCACATAAATTTCTGAAGAGCATCCTGTGAAGAGGTAGCATGTTTTTTGTTCAATATTCATTTTATTTGAATTATTCTTTATTACACTTCTAGAACTGTGCTTTAAGGATAGAATTAGTGAAGTACAGGTGTATAGACAGAAACCTCTGTTCATAGCATTGATAATCATAGAGAAACAAAAATCACTGAATGGTAAATAAAACATGGCATTTATCATTCTTTCAAAGCAGAGTAAATAATGTGAAAATGTTAAATTAAAACTGGAGGGTGAATAATAGAGCATTATTTCAATTTTGTAAAAAGCGAGAAAAAGACACAGACACATGATTAAACCGGTGTTATTAGTAATTACATCTGGATGGTGAGAATAAGATGACTTTTAATTTTTTTCTTTGTAGTGTTATGAAATACATGAAATTTCTATATGAATATATATTACTTTGGTAATCAAAAGAATACTTTACTTGCGAAAATTGGCTTTATCATTTTCCAGCTCTGAGGATATATTAAAGAATCTATTGCTATGCTGCCTCCACGAGGCAAGACATTTTATCCGCTTTGTTCATTGGTGAATTCCCCATGCCTGGAATAATGTTTGGATAAAATACCACTTATAAATATTTTTTGAATAAATGAACGAGTGCACAATGAATGATATGCCTCCCTCTCTAAAGGCAATTTTAAAGCATTAAATATAAGGGGATTGGTTACTTCCTTTCCTTGTAGAGTTGAACAATTAATCCACCCATCATTAAGTGTTAATTAAGTGTCTATTTATAGCATGTCTTCTTTCCCCTGAAGAGAGATTACTTTCTCATGGACTGAAAATGATCTTTGGTTTCTAGTTAAAATTTGCTTGGAGGGGAAGGAGTTGAGCAACACATGGCACATGTGGATTCTGATGTATGGGGATTTAAAATGATTTTGACATGGCTGGCCAGGTGGCTCAGTTGGTTAGAGCGTGTGCTCGTAACAACAAAGTTGCCGGTTCAACTCCTGCATAGGATGGTGGGCTGCGTGCCCCCGTATCCCCCCCACACACACTTCCTGCAACTAGATTGAAAGCGGCAACTGGACTTGGAGCTGAGCTGCACCCTCCACAACTAAGATTGAAGGACAACAACTTGACTTGGAGCCAATGGGTCCTGGAAAAGCACAGTGTTCCCCTTCCCCAATTCCCCAAAAAAAATCTTTCAGGAAAAGAAAAAAAATAATAATAAAATGATTATGACAGAAATCTTTTACCTTCAGCACCTTTAAGTTAGCCCTCTGTCCTCAGATTTAAAAGAAGAAAGCCATAACTAATTAATTAGCAAATATTATTTTATTACCCAATGAAAGTGTTTTTAGTTTACCATCTGTATGGAACAAATGGAGTATAAGAATAATCACAGGGTTTGCTGACATTACTGTTGGGGATAGAAACTTACTGAAGAAGGACAGTTGGATAATATAAGACAACAACACTGTGTTGTGCTTCACTGTAATTCAATAAGGGAATGTTTTCTTCAAATAATTTTTCATGTAGCCTGCAGTTTAGACTTATGCAAATAGACACATGCCTTATTTAAAAATTTATATTTTTTTGCATATTTCCTAAAAAATAAACTAGGAAATGAAGGACTTCAGTCCTGAGGGAACATAATAGTAATGTTTATATTGTGATTTAATATTAAATAAGACAATATCAATGTGTACAGTGATATGGCTTTTTTACACACAGCTCTTGCTTTCTTTTTTCTAGGATTCAAAATTTCCTACAGATATGCAACGACTTCCAAACCTGTACTTACATAAAGAAAATAATCCAGCAAAATTTGACTACAAGCTGAATAACATATTTCGACTTCATAGCCTTCCAGTGAGCTGGTAGGATTCTTGATGTTTTATTAACGACTGTGAGATTTTATTGTCATGTCAAAATTGTGGTGCTCTTACTGCCATTCATGGTCGAAGTGGTTTGCTCTTAGCCTGTTTCCAAATTGCCTATCGTAACAGAGAAAGAATCTGCTCATAGCTGCTGCAAGAATCTTAAAACTAATTGGTCTAGGCAGTCAGTGGCGGTACAAAGTGTTCTATTGTGCTTATTGTAGAGCTTGCAGTTCTGGCTTAAAATAAAGCACCCATCGTTTTTAGAGAGGTTTGTAGGAATTATTTTAAATGTAGACTCTCAGCAACTATGCATTTCATTTGTTTATTTTACTTATAATTTTGCCAATATGTATATTTTTTCTCATTAACAAATCATTAGTTTTATTTGTTTTGAGGACCACAGTTTTGTGAACCATAACCATATCAGTTTAACAAAAGTTACTAGGTATTTATTAAAAAAAACATTATTTTATGAATCTGCATATTTATGTTCACAAAAAAACATTTTAAATCTTGTACAATTCATACCATTATTCAGACTTTTTGAGAAATATATTTCTGTGGAGAATCTGTAAATATACATTCTATCATCTAGGTCTGTGGCACATTAAAATTTTAGTAAATGGGCAGCTTTTGTAAATTATCATGAATATATCATTTTGATTATGGCTTCGGCAAGTAATATTATTTTCTCGCATTTTCATGTAATCTCAAGTTTATGTCATCAACCTTCAAGAAATGTAAGATGTGTACAAAAATGTATGGCAAACATGTAATTGCTTCCGTTATACTTCATGAGGACAGATGTCTCAGAGTAGGATGTTAACCAACTTTAATAACTTACATACATTTACCTGTGCTTTTGTTTTCCATTTGCAGTTTCCTCTGCTCTTGATGACTCTGTGTAATCTACTTTCTAAGCCCTATTTGATTTTTTCCATGTAGCAAGAACATTGTCTATGATATCTTAAGAGCAGAGCAGATACAATTTCATCTGCCATGACCAAAACCAGTAGGATAATGAACTGAAAAGTTCTGTTAGTAAAGGGAACAGTAAAAATGGTTCACACCTTCAGTATTCTATTGCTACTTACCAGTGCATTTGCAGTCACAGGCCTGTCTTTTGATATGAGGCCATGGCTTTTTCTTTGATTAAGTGACTGTTGATTGGAATTCTACAATACAACATATTTCTTGCATACACTATACCAGTAATGCATCATCTACAGTTTTAATATTTAATCTGAAACAAGAGCTTCAGACACTTAGAAGATGATCCCCCTACCTTTCCATAGCATTCATTTAAATTTTATGGACAGCAATTTTCCTTGTCACACTTGTATTTCATCACCTTGATTAATCTTTAATTACATTACAATAGCAAACACAACTGGCGTATCAGGAGATTTAGGAACAAACTCCTTTGACTCTTTGTAATCCAGGACTGTGGCTGCACAGATAACCTGTGCTGGCCTACGGAGCCATACAGGGTCTGAGAGCCCAGAGCAGTTGGGAGGCACTGAGCACAGCTAGTGTGTTTTATAGAGAGAATGGGAAAGATTGGTCAATCCAGCAATTAAGTGGAAGTTAAGGGAAAAGCTTCTATTCAGTGCAAGTGAGAAGAAAAAGAAGGAAACATGTTACTCTTAGTCAAAGACAAAATCTGGATTTTAGCTTAATTTATTTCCAGCCTTTGAAAAGACAGCTGCTCAGATAACAGCTCCTGCAACCTAGGGAATCATTTCTTTGTCACAGTCTTCACTAGTTATCCAATTAGGAGAGAAAGCTTTGGTATTATGAGTTAGGCAGAAAAAAAAAATCGCTAGTGGAAAGAATAAACACTAATCTTCTAGAGCAGGAGTCGGCAAACTTTTGAGACGGAAGAGCCAATCCTGTCCCTCAAAGTTTTGTGAGACCTATAAAACAAATGAAATCACCATTATGTGAATAATATCCTTTAAAAATTTTATAAATGAAACTATGATAGTTTTATTTTCATTTCCAATTTTACTTCAGAGCCACATGTACGTACCCAAAGAGCCGCATGTGGCTCGCGAGCTGCAGTTTGCCGACCCCTGGTGTAGCCTGAGCAAACAAAAGTAGAAAGAATAAACACGAATCTTTTAGAGTAACGTACCTCAAAGGAAGATTAAGCTGTGACTATGGGATGCCTCATTTACCTAGGCCTTTTTTTGCTTGCCTTCTTCATTTCCAATTTGTCTCAGTTTCTGCTTCCTTACACTATTTTTTCTTTGCCACATATTTGTTTCTCTCCAACCTATTTTCTTCCTTTTTCTCTATATGCTCAGTCTATACTACCAACCCTTAACTGGTCATTGTATAAAATTCAACTGTAAATTTTGAGTGTCTCTCAAATAATTTCATATTTTCTATTTGTAATTTTAAAACCAAATTACCCACTACCCTCCTCCCACATACATACACATACAGAGGCTTGGTACTTCATAGGCCTTTAATATAATGCTTATTGACTCAATTGTTTCTTTAAGGAATTAAAAAAGAGGTCTTTGTTTTATGATGACTATGAATTTATTTAATTTTGTTTGTCAATTACCATCAGTGGAAATAAAGTTCTTCTCCTATGGTATATAGGTTTCTTAACTTCATCAATATAACAATAATAGTAATGACAATAGTAATGAAAGAGTATTGGTGATAACAATAAACTATAATAAATTATGTTTTACTAAGTGTATATAAATGCCAGAATTCAGCTATTTTAGGCATATTGTTTTTAACCTTTGTATTTCTGTAAGACAGTTATTATTTTCCTAATTTCTCTCCTTTCTCTCTCTCTCTCTCTCTCTCTCTCTCTCTCTCTCTC